TTATCTTGGGGTTCCTTAGGTTGGTACAGCAATTGTACAGGGGAGAGAACATCCATTTTGAGTTCAAATCCCATCTCGACCCCTTTGTGGCTGTGTGATTTGGGGCAAGTCACTTCACCTCTCTGTGCCTCGGTTTCCCCATATGTAAAATGGAATAATAATAATTCCTACCACAGGGGGCAGATGTGAGGGTAAGATCAGACAGCATATAAGACACGGCCCAACACACAGTAGATGCTCTAACCACGTAACCATCTTCCTTCCTTCCTTCCCACTGTGTTCTCTCCTCTTGCCTTGCGCCGTCACTAGGAGGGCTTTCGCTTAGCTCCTATGGTCTCTGAGGGGGTCACATCACCATCCTAGCAGGTCTGGGGCATGTCCAGCCCTACCTGGGACGGCACCTCCACCCTGATTACGACACGGAGGTTTCACCTGCCTTCTTAAGATGTGGTTGGTAAGAAACTGTTACATCACCACAAGCTGTTCTTGTTGCCAATCCAACCGTGACACAAAAAAGGATTAAGAATTTCATGGAGGTGTTTGTCTAGCTAACGCAGCTTTTGTAATATCTTTTGTAACCGTTTACGGGAAACAGAAAATCAAGTGCAATTTAGCAAGCTCAGACATTCCCAGCTGGTCGGAGAGTGAGTGTAACGTGAAATGACTTGATCAGGAGTTTGGATAAAAGAATCTTTCCTTTCTAGAACAATACTGGTTTGCAACTTAGGATGTGTGTGTGTGTGCGTGCGTGCATGCATGCATGGGTTTCTGAGGGGTGGAAATGCAAGACCCCAAAAGAGGGCTGGCCCGCAGGAAGACTCTTTCTTTTCCCTGCCCATAAGGTGGCCCAAGGAGCGGGTAGCTATGGGGATGGTTAGCACCCCTGGCACACAGTGTCGGCTTCAAGAGGAGTTTATTATCACTGGAGCATGGAGCCTCCCTGCATCTCCATGGATGTGCTATTTCTCATGTCATATTTGTCCTTCGTCCTTCTATCCAATAAATATTTATTAAGTGTCCCCCACGTGCCCAGCAGTGCAGTTCCCAGGTAAGAACCGCCGTCCAGAGACAGGAGGGGTTTTTCCCAAGGCCACCTCATGTCTCAGAGCAGGCACTGAGCTTTGGGTACAAGAACATCTGGCACAAAGCAAGCTCAGAAGGAAGGAGTGTTTCTCTGGAAGGAGAAACACTGAGCCTCATGGCCCTGGGAGAAAGATTAGGGTCCAAGGAGCCAGAAACCTGCCTTCTCTCATCTCTCTGGGCCTCAGTTTCCCAATCTGTAAAAGGAGCTTGTTGGACCCGACTTCAAGAATAAGTTCCAAAAGTTGGGGCGGATGGTTACAAATCTGTAGTTCTGCCCCTTCCTAAATGTATGCCTTTGGGCGAGTCATGTCTCGGCCTCAGTATTCTTGTCTGCAGATTGAGATGATGTCAGCCCCTGTCTCATGGTTCCTACAGAGATGAAATGGGATGGTGCACTTGCTAAGAAGTTTAGCAGGTGTCTGGCACACAGTAGGTGCTTAATAACTCTATTTTTTAGTACATGTAAGGGTGGATTCCCTCCCATCCTCTGAGATAAGGAGAAACCTGATTGACGCATGTTAAGCATGAGCCCTGTTTGCCGTTGCCCGCGAGGTCAGGACCGCCCCCAGCTCCTGGTCCCCTGCCCCAGCGCCAGCAGCAGGCAGGGATGCTGCTGCCAATTTGCTGCCTAGGCCCCGCCACTGACTCCTGACAGCTCCCCAGGGACAAGGCAGCCGCCTCCAGCTGCTGCCCCCGCCCTCCTGCACACAGCCATTGAAAATTAACGGCCAAACTCAGCCCCGGGGGACGAGGGACCAGGCGGCTGCTTGGGCGGCTGCACGGGGGCTGGACCAGCAGCCGAAGTGGTCCTTGGAGCCCTTCTTTGGAGACGTGGGAGGGCAAATGGGAAGCCCATAAACTTCTACTGGGTATTATTCAGGGAGAAATATGGGAATGGTTGGAAGTGAGGAGTCACTGCCTAATCATAAACAGCCCCTCTCTGTGTCCCAGTGCTCGCTCTGTCCCAGACCCGGCTGCACTCCTTGTCACAAGGGAGGTGCAGAATCCTCCCAACCAACATGCAAATTGGGTTCTCAGATGGCTCCATCTCACTGATGAAGAAACTGAGGCTCAGAGAGAGGCAGTGGCTTGTCTAGGGTCACACAGCTGCGAGGTGATGGAGCAGCTTATCCTGTCCCAGCTCCCGTGCTCTTGGCCAGTGGGACATGGGGCTGGTGGTCACAGTATTCTCAGGGTGCAACGGCTTCAGTGTCTCAAGTCCCCACTTGACCCATCACTAGCTGCGTCATCTCGTTAAGCCATTTAAACTGGCGGAGCCTTGGTTGCCTCATCTGCCAAATGGGCACAAGAGTGCCACCCACACGGGGTGGTTTGGGGGCACTGGGTGGGGATTTATACTGAGAGCCTGGCACAGGGAAAGCAGGTAGTGAAGGGTTAAGAAAACACCAGTTGCTATTATTATTGTCATTATTATGATATTATTTTGCCTTCTGGATGGATACTTTGGCTGTTCGATACAAGATAACAACCCTGAATCCATGTGAACAGGAAAGAAAGGGTTGGTTGTGCTGGGCTATGCCAAGCCGGGCACTGGGCACGTCTGGATTCGGTGTTGATGGGGACAGGCCTGCCTCTCCTCCTCGCCCCCCCCCTGCCCCAAGCCCCCACCCCTGCCAGCTGGCTGGTGAACTGGGTAGGCACTGCTTATCCCCTGAGGAAGCTCTCTGCTGCCCTGCCCTGTTTTTGGAGAGAGACAGCTGCTCAGTACCCCAGACAGTTTGTGAGCTGGGCTGGCCCAGACTCATGGGACCAAGACCCCAGCCTGGTGAGAGCCCCTGTCCCAGCCCTGGGCAGCACTGGGCGTCTGGATTAAGATATTCCACTCCCCTCCCTCACACTCAGTTCCTCCACACTCCCCTCCCAAAAGCCCTCCCTAGATGCATCTCTTGCAGAAAGCCAAACTCTTTCATGCAACTAAGTGCTAACAGCAAAAGCAACTATTCATTATGTGTCTCTTGCGCTGTAAGCTTTATTTATTTAATCTTCCCAGCAATCACGTGATGGACGAGCCCTGATCGTGCCCATTGTAAAGATGAGGAAACCGAAGCAAGTCATGGGCCCTGCCCAGAGCTGGACCTTGAACCTACATGTGTCTGAGCCCCCTACCTCTGCTGCTTTTAAGCAGCAATAAGAATCCATGACTTGGAGCTCTTGAAGCCAGACCCAGGTGGGGCTAGGGGCTCCAGCTAGGAGGGCAGAGGGAGATTCACCCCAGCACATTCAGTGCCTGCTGGTGCCAGGTACATTCACAGATAACAAATATCTCATTCAACCCTCTGGAGGTAGCTTTTATATCCCCATCACACAAACCAGTGGAAGTTCAGAAGTGAAATTAAAGGAAATTGGTGAGTGACAGAGCCAGAAATGATGACTTAACTGTCACAACTCCGTGCAGTGGGTACTATTTCTATCCCCATTTTACAGATGAGGAAACTGAGGCTCAGAGAGCTCCACACAGCCAGAAAAGCTGGGATGACAATGGACTCCAGAGCCGAAGGCTAACTCTTAACTGCCCCTGACCCACTTGTCATTATTTAAACCTGTTAGTGCTGCAAGGAAGCCCAGAGGTCCTTGGCTGAGTGATCTTGGGAAAAGCTGTTTCATTTCTCTGAGCCTCAGTTTCCTCACCTAGACAACAGGGATCAGCAGAGCAGCCTCGTGAACTGAGGTGAGTGACGGGGGCGGTGGGGGGCCTGGCACACAGTAGGTGCTCACAAACTGCTGTGCACCTGGCCCCAGCTCTGCACGCAGCAGGCTCTCTGCAAATATCTGTTTGAATCTGTCGCCTCATTTGGAACTCAGGAGGCAGCCTCCCTCTAATTGGGGGCTGCGGTCTGCCCCAGCAGGCACTGCTGGTGAGTTGCAGTGACCCCGGGGGGTCAGACAACCCCTGGATAAACAGGGCTGATCAGAGGTGACAGCCTGCTCTTCCCAGGCCACCCCTGGTCCTGTCCCCATTCCGTAATCTGGACTGTGTCCCTTCAACCCACAGACATGGTGCTTGCTTTGGGGGGTGGGGCCGTAGAAACCAGGTCAGGCCTCCCTGGCCTCAAGGGGGAGAGGCTGGGAGAGGACTCCAGGTCCTTCCTTTTCCTCCTCCTCCTCCTCCCTCCCCGTCACTGTGTGACCTTGGATAAGCCCCTTCTCCTATTTTGGCTTTAGTTTCCCCACCTGTAAAAAAGAAAGGGCTGGATTGGTTGACCCCCTAAGGGCCTTTGCAGCTGTGGCGTTTGAAGACAAAAGAGAGAAGTGCTTTGAGGACTCCCCCCTTCACTTGTACCTTGTTTCATCTGTTTCAAGAAATAGTGTATTTTGACTTCAGTTTCCATCTAATTTACTCTTCGAACACATGAGAACCTAGAAGAGACCTTAAGATCATCGCATTCAACAGCATCGTTCATTTAAATGACGAGGAAATGAGGCCCAGAGAGGGCAAAAGACTTGCTGAAAGTCACACAGCCGGGTGAAGAACCCAGGAGTTCTGAGCCACAACTTTCCCAGCATCCCAGCATGGAGGATGGGAGCCAGTTCCTCCCAGAAAGCTTTGGGGGGGGGGGCCGTGCATTTCCTAGAGCCCCCACTACGGCCACTGGAGAGGAAGCAATAGCTGCTGTTGTGACCTTAACTTTCACCAGGATTCTCAAGTGGTATCCAAGGAGGGGACCTCTCTGGGAGGGAACAGGAGACTACAGACATTTAAGTGGTCCCACTGGGCTAAGCCACAAGCCCGGACACCCTTAGAAAGACCAACTTTGAAATCAAGACATGCTAGCTTTCCCGCAAAGTCACAGAATTGAACATGACAATAGCTCTTGGGCAGTTTCAGAAACCAATGGCAGCACGTAAACACTTCGAGCAATCCAAAAACATACAGTTGTGATTGTTGAAGCCCTCACCTGTATTCCTGTGGAGAGGGGTGGTGATTCTGCCCCGAGTTTCGAATAATTCCTGACATTATGGATGAGATGTCGCTTTCTATCATCTCCTTGGGGAAAAGACAAGCAGAATACAAAGCTCCCATCAGCCACGATGTGGACAGGGCTGAGAGCCACAGTTTTCCCACAATTCAGAAGGATGGAGCTCAAACAACTAACGGAATACTTTTTTCTTTAAAGAAAAAAAAAAAA